CTGCCCGCCCTCCACCCCGGCCCGCACACACACACACACGCACGCACACACGCACACACACACACACACACGCACACACGCACACGCACACACAGGTACCTGATGAACGAGGCGCTGCGCCCAGAAATGTGCCCGCAGTGCTGTGTGCGGGTCTGGAGCCCCCAGCACAGGGAAAAAAAACCATGGAGCTGTTGGAGCGGATCCAGAGGAGGCCACGAGGATGATCGGAGATGATCTGCCCTAAAGACAGGCTGAGAGAGCTGGGATTGATCAGCCTGGAGGAGAGAAGGCTCCGGGTAAACCTCGTAGTGGCATTCCAGTACCTGAAGGGACCTCCAGGAAAGCTGGGAGGGGCTTTTTACAAGAGCTTGTAGTGAGAGGACAAGGGGTAATGGATTAAAACTGGAAGAGGGAAGATTTAGCCTAGACGTTAGGAAGAAGTTACTCACCATGAAGGTGAATATAGGGAAGCTGTGGATGTCCCATCACTGGATGTGTTCAAGGGCAGATTGGATGGGACTCTGAGCAGCCTGATCCAGTGGGAGGTGTCCCTGCCCATGCAGGGGGTTTGAACTAGGTGATCTTTAAGGTCTCTTCCAATCCAAACTATTTTATGATTCTATGAAACTGGGACAGTGCCTGAGCAACCTCACCAAGGGATGTCGTGGCCTTAACGCTTCTTTGGACACAAAGGCACCTACTGCCCTGAAGGAGTCAAATGCACTGTGCTCTGGCACCCATGGGCTCCAAACCCAGTCTGCAGCATTTGGGTTCCAAGGAAGTTTTTTTAATTGAGGTCACTGAATCCTAAATTATGCCATTTATTACATACTATGTTTTCTATCATTCAGGACCAAACAAGCAAAGGGCATCATATGGCAGAGAGACAGAGCAAGAAGGAGTCAGCAATCCAAAACAAATTGGGTTTGATTGCAGGCCTTCCCAGCACCTGTCTGAGTTCCACCTGGTATATTGCATGTTGCTAAACTACAGCAATCCACAGCTTGCTGTGACCTGGGAGCAGACCTGTTACATGTAAACAGTGATCAGGTAGCAAACAAGATCAATCAAAACACAGAGTTAGTGCAGGTACTTGCAGTACACAGGAAAAACCAAAGCCTGAGTGCAACTTCATGCTTTAGCACTGGAAAAATGCAGGTTTGGTACCTTGGTTTTAGTGCATACTGAACTGTGATACCCTGGTTCCTACTTCTTTAAGGAAAACACACCAGCTGCCATTCCGGTTCACTGGCACAGAAGTACCATCATAAAATATGTGCTATTCCCAGGCTCCAAAAGGTTTGGGCCAATCTTTCATCAAATTCTGTCAGGCGAGCAGAGAGATCTATCATCATATTCTGAGACAAAGCTGCTATTTCTAAGTCACAACAAAAACCCTGATTCCAGTGTATCCCCAAGATTTGTTTCCATCATCAGGGTTATGCAGATCTCTGTCTATTTTGGCCATGTATCAAGCTGGATGAAACCCAGAGCTACTTTCTTCTGACCATAAAAATAAACATCTGAAGATGCACCTAGTGCCTGGAGTTTTTGGATGGAGTAGCCATGGCTATGTTCCTCTGCTCGTACTTCCGTGGAGGAGTTCGAAGTGTCAAAGCCAGGGAAGAAAGCTACGTCTCAGTGCCTGTTCCAGCATTTCACAACTTGAATCCAAATATTTTGGTGCAAGGAGGACACTTCCATTTACGCTTTGCAGTGATGCCATTTAGTAGAGCTAAACTGAATCAGTTTGGAAGTTCAGTACTTTCTAGAAAAGGTCAGATTTGTCATACACCAAGTAATCAGCTCATTTTTCAACTAAGATTTTTTTTAAAAATCCTTCCCTATTGAGCTGCCTTTAATTACCTTCCACTTCTCTGACTACATGCTTGCTTTTAATATGCAAACAACTCTCTAGCGTCTGCTCGTAGCAGCAAGCCACATTCCTTTTTTTGTCATTAAATAGGTATATTGAAACACAGGACTTTCAACTTTCTTCCACTTTTATCTTGGTTATTTTGGTTTGTGTTTTGTTTTTTTTCTGCCTTGTGCAAGAGACTTCGGAGTAAATGTTAAATTAGGCTGATGTTTACTACCTAATTCATGACAGTGGAACCAAAATGTCCATCCTGCAGTTCTTTCATGGCTGCCTACAAGAAAGGATACAGGAAAAGCAATTGGATTAGGGATCAAACAGAATCATCCTCCAGGAGTTAGTCTTGTAAAATGGGGACAATTTCTAGAAACAGAAATCTTGGCTCTACTCCATGTCTGCTAGCAAAGAATTCTGGATCCACGTTTCTGCAGTGCTGTCTGCAGATGACTTACAATATGCAAATAGTGTTCAGGTGTAAGTGCTGATAATGCAGCAGAACATGTAAAATCCACTATTTCCATCTAGTGGTGAGACAGTACTCCTGGATCTGAAGTCCATGGAGATCCAGCTACCTCTCTGTTCAGAACGTTGCTAGGAATCCTCCCATAAGTCATTTGGTTTGATTTATTCTCCCTACAAATTTTTCAGGTCTGGGCATGTAAGTCCATATAAGATGTAGAATAAAAGATAAAATCTCTGTTTTCTGAAATGCAGGCTGTTAGGATGGAGTGGAAAATCTGATTTTTTACAAAAATCTAACATTTTGCAAATTAATTTGGTGATATGGATTATTGTCTATGATACTGTCAATGCCACATCTCAAAACATCTTTGAAACAGGGTAGTGCTGAAATCTGTGAAGTCTCATATAGCTAATAAAGTAGAGAGACCAGGGATTTATCCTTCTGGGTAAGGTACAAGTGGTCTGGGATACAAAATATATGGGTTTTTTTACTGTGACAGTACAGTGTGTGTGTGTGTATGTCAAGTATTTCAAAGGTGAGAGAACACAGCTCCCTACTTGGGGATTCAAAATTAAATTATCAGATACTCAGAGATGCTTAGGCCACAGGGCTCTGTCTCTATAAATCCCAGTTCCTGCCTGGTTTGAGCCTGACAACAGGCCATATGTGTTTTGTGTGTAGTTTCTTCTTCTCTCTAGATATAACCAAAGAGGAGCAGCAAAGACATATCCATATGGAAAGTGTTAAATTCCTACGCCACCTATTACGGTTTCAGAGCAGGCAGCTGAGGTTCTCTGAAGTTTTTCTCATTTCAACATTAGATTATACGTTAGCCGTGAGAAGGAAAATCAAATTTACAACGAGAAGTGTAAACTTTTCTGTGGAAATTTACTGCACGGAAAGCACGTAGCCACAGTTAGGAGCAACCACCACCTTGGCAGCTTGGGCCTGCCAGACCGAATGTTTTCCTGAGGTAGTCAAGCCCTTGTGTCCTGTAGGAAGGGAGGATATTACAGTTCATCATCACCAAGTGCAAAGCAAAGGACCAAGGCAAAAGAGTGTACAGAAACCTTTGTTCTACTCCTTTGGGCAAGTGTGCCTCGTGCAGTGATGTTTCATCCAATGTGAGAGGTGGGAAGCTGTGGCTAGCAGTGTTGGAAGTTTCTCTTCATACAGCCATAACACCACCCGTTGCATGCAAGCCAAGCCATATTTTGTCTTTCAGAGTCAAAATACCTGCATCTTGGGCAGGGCAGAGCACCATGACCTCCTCATCTGCAACACATAGCTGATTAGGTGGCATAGGTGTCACTTTTTCCCTAGGCCTTTACTCATTAAACTGCCCATAGGTTTAACTTGGAAGGTACCCAATCTGATTGGGCTATACTTTGTTTTACTGTGTGAAAGGGAGGATCTCACTTTCTTTCTAGTATACAGACATACTGTGTATATATAGTACCTTATCTAAGTGATAGGCTTCTTCTAGATAAGATTACCTCTTGAGAAAGCCCAAAAAAATTGCCAGGAAAATTAGGCACCACAGCTCAAATTTTACTCTTCAGCCTAACCCTAGCTGTGGAAAAAAACCTGAAGCAGCCCATGAATAATAGTTACTCACCCCCAAGGCATGGATGAGAAAAACTGCATAGGTAGCAGCACAGCTTTGTTTCTGTTTCCTTGTTGTACAAGTGTGGCTTTCCCTTCCCAGACATGTCATCAGTGGGCAGACATGATGAAACACATGCCATGGTTGCATAGCTGGCCAAGGTAAGCTTTGCTCCATCTCAGGATCTATTTGCTTGGGCAATACTAGACCAGGGATTATGAAGCAACACATGAACTGGCAAGTTTTCATTTGTATGTCAGTATGCACAAGATCTTCTAGTG